AGAAAACATCAGATGATCTACTAACCCATTCTCAATCAGTCATCATTTTACACAGCTGCTGGGAGTCTTTTTTTTTTTCTTTTTTCAATAGCCTGGTTTGAAGTTCATAGCAGTACAAAATGTTGTGGTGCTAAAATTGGCATAGTTTTTAAAAGCCTTCATTATAAGATTTGTGTTCATTAAGCCTTTGCTTTTGCCCAAAGCTTTCGCTGGAATGATGCTGACATACAGGATCACTTGAGGGATCACCTGTCACTTTTTCACATTGGTTTTGATGAAAAGAAGCACTTCACCAGTGAGTGCCAGAAGCCACCTTAATGTCCTGAGCCATATGTGGTTATACCAGCATGTTCATGGACGTGAGGTGGGGGAGATTTTTCACATAGGAAGGGAAGTGTCCCTTCTTTAGTTCTTGGGACAAGTCAGTATGGACAGATAGAATACATATATTTAATACCATTAACAGATATTACTGCCGCTAATGTCACTGCTAGCTAATTTAGAAGCTCAAATACTGACAGAATTGTATATTTTTTAAATTCTTTGCTACTTACTGCTTCTTTCCTCATCATAATTTTTTAAATTATATTTGAAAATTTAAAAAATAACAGGAGAGACTCACAAATACTTTGGGAAGCTTCTCCTCAAAAAGCTGAAGTATGCCAAATTAGTGACTAGTTCTTGTCGTGCATTAGAACAATGGCTTGATTTAATATGACAAAGTAGAGACTGTTAATGAAGTATGTCCTCAGTTTACCCCATTTATTATTGTAAAGTATAGAAGTTTCACTGCACTCTAATTAAAGGTGAAGTCAGTAGCTTGACACTTTCCAGAAGATGACCCTGCTTCAGTTTCCGGTGCTTTTGCCAAAGTATTTGGGATGAAATGTCCTGTGCTGAGTAGTTGCCTGAGAAGCATTCCGAACTTCTCCACAGAGACTGTCCAGCCATTTCTGAGAGGGAGACTAATTTGCAATCATTTTATGGAAAAATTTGCAGTCTCTCTGCTCAAAGTGAAGAGCTTGAAGTTTGGCTGCAAGCTTTCTCCTATCTATAGGGTATTTTTTTTTGTCTACACGGAGGAGGAAAAAAGAATGGAAGAAGAACAATGTCAGTCCACTGCTCAGCAGTTACATTCTCCGCAGAGCCAGCTTATCTCTCAGAGTAGAGAGGGAACGAAATGATACCATCTTTAGGCAGGGAAGCCAGGAGCAAGCTAAAGCAGAATAGACTCCCTGGCCTGCTCCAGGGGCCTTTGCATTGCCCAGCCGTAGGATTCCCACAACCAGATTGCTCTGACAGCAGGTAGTCTAAGCTGAGATTGCTTACAAATTGCACTGCAGGAGGAGCGGGGGCTGAAAAGCGAAAAGACAAAGAAGAGAAAGGAAGATGAAAGGGTCTTTGTGAAGCCAGGTCTGATGAAGTTGGTGCAAGGAGGAACTTAGACATGCAAAAACTGTGTTAAAAGAGTGTCATAGGTGGCAGAGGAACTCCGAGATACCCAGGTTGCACATTCAGAAGCATCAGCGTGAACAAGACCTGTGCGTATCTGCACTGTATTAAGTCTTCTGTTATGTGCTCATGTGGGATGTCCGTCAGGTAAGATGAACAAAGTTACGAAAGGTGAAGTAGGGTTATGCAGGAAGGGGATCCCTATAGGGAGTGACCTTGTATCTTAAATGGGTGGAGTGTTGCAGAGCTGTATCAGAGCCTGTTAAGGTTGAGAAACTTGAGTTCTGCCCTACAAGACTGAATCCTTCACACCACAGAGCTTTGGGTAGTTCTGAGTGGTGCTATTAAATGTTGAGCGTTCTGAAAAATTCAGTTCTCGAATTGCTGGTTTGCACCCAACTATTATTCATATCCTACAGTGAACATGCATTGTGTGCCATATGATGTTATTCAGACAAACTGTTTGAACAAACCCCCAGCTTTTGTTATTCACCCAGATCTGTTTAGTACCTTAGAAACGAAACTCCTTTTCCACTGACAGAACCTCATTACCTTATTTCACAAGTGTGCTGCAGTGAAATAATTTTTTGCAGCGTTACAACTATGAGAAGTCTTGGGACATTAAACACAAAAGCATTCTTTCCTGCCACCTTTAGGCATACAGATTGTCGCAGAGAAGGTTGCTATAGTGAGATTTGGGTCAACCAGTACAGTGCTTTCATGCTTGCTGGGCTAATTTTTTTCAAATATTTCTGTACGATTGGTAATATATGCATATTCAAGTGCACAGATTCAAGTAAAGTACAAGAAACTCCTGAACAGCTCTGCAAAGCACTGTGAGTGCGGTCCCGATTTAAATGGGGAGCTCCGCTGTATGTTCAGGGGTATGTCAACAAAGGCTAAGGGATGGGGCTAAAGTCCTCTCTAATGAATGTTTGCTTAAGTTAGCAGAACACTGGTGAAACATGCTCCAAGGAGTTACTTAATGTCAGCAGAAAATGTTAGTTTTCAGTTATTTCGTTACGTTACTACTAGGCATGTGTTGAGGTTCATTAACCGGTCAGCTCTGCTCACAGTTCTCAGACATGAGGTGTGACCTGGTGCCACTCAATGCGTTAGCGTGCATAAGGCATAGCGGTAACGTGGTGTAGAACAGCAGCCAAAAATAACATCATCTTTGTGTTTCCTGAAGACGCTCGTTGTCAGTGTCTAGGACTTTGTCAAAGTCAGAGGTAGTCCTCATTGGCACAGTAGCTGCTGATTCATTAAACGCTTAGCCTGTGACATTTCCACCAAATTTATTCTGTAGGTTAGAAGGGATGCACTGGTTATTTGCTTACTCTGTCTGAGAAATGTGTCTGCTTGAAATGATAATCTTACTAGTGAATTATTTTGCTCAACACCAGCATTTGGCTTGAATAAAACAAAGATGTCATCTCTTCAGAGCAAATATTTACATTGAGCTATATCAGATTGAAACTTGACATATACCTCCGGATACTCGGTTGTGTCTCAATGCAGAATAAAAATAACATTATCTGGCCCATATATAATAAGTATCGCTAAAGGAAAGTAGTTTTACCTATCAGAATAAAATAAGCCCAAAGGTTGCACATAAAACACACCAGTAATTAGACATGCCTTCAGTAATGAAAGTTTGATTCATTACAGTTTTGCAGCAATTTACTTGTGATACAGCACTGCAGTAGCAATTAGCAACAGTAGTAACAGGGAAACTCTGAGAACCATAACACTCTCATCAGTGTTAACCCAGGTTCTTTGAATGAATTCTCACTAGCACTTATAATACTACAGGGCCTTTTATTCAAATAGTAACTCTATTTGAATGAAGTTGGTAAATGTGTGCACATCAGGGGAAGAGAGAAAAAAAGAGAAACACCCTCTTCATTCTCCTTTCCACCTCCCCTCCAGTGGGAATTCGGTAGCTGCAGAAGACAGACTGGCTGTTCTCGTTCATCTGAGATAACTGGTACAACTAGAAGGGATAGATCAAGGTCCTGTTGTCACTTTTCCTGAAGCTCCATCCTTAGGTCAGGAACCCAGCGTCACTGGGAGTAATGCTGCCAGATGATACCTTGGCTTCTCTCACAGGACAGAAGACCTCATTTCTGATCTCCTACAGCCTTAACACACACTTCTGGTCAGGTAGCTACTTTCCCAATCTCAGATACAGCTCAGCACTGAGTGCTGCCTCCATCTCTTTCCTCTTGGCTTCTCCCTCAAAGCAGATGAAAACAACATAATAGAAAGTTTATATAAGGCAAATAGCTAAAATTTGCTGATTTTCTTCTTTTCCAGTCTGTATTCTGGACGTTATTGTTGTTATTACTATTGTCATGCCTATTACTATGGACACCAGAATACGATATCCTGCCATCAGTGTCCCTGCTTGGGTCACCTTACAGCTAGTCTACAGCAGTAATACCAAAACATGAAGCCGATGGTGCATGGAAGGCTTTTAGTTATTGCAGAATAATACAATCTGTCTCTTCAGCTGCTGTTTGAGGGCATCAGGTTTATTTCTCTGCAGTGGCTTTGATGTGTGGTCTTTGTCTTTATCATTTAAGCACTCTTGTTGTAGCCCTGGATGTCCAATTAATCATCTCCTGACCTAGGTTGAAGACTGTGAGTGTTACGTTCAGGCTTGAGCTCCCTGCAGCTTTGGTTCCCATTCCGTCTTCTGGGTCTTGGATAGTAAGTTGGCTGTGAAATAATCCAGTGTGAGCATGGAAATTGAAGTTAAACCTGATGTTTACAGAGGGAACAAATGCATTGCCTGCAATGTATTATTGCCTAGAGACTAGAGAAGACTGGGATCGCTGATTTGCAGAAAAGATTGCTGTCACACTTACAAGAACTCATCTAGCACTGGACTGAACTGCCCTGGACATGAAGGATTTTTGCAAGTTCCATCTGTTCTGCTTTGTGTGCACATTATTTTGTGTTCTGGAGTATAAGTATCCAATAACATACACAGGTAAAAATAAAAACCAGCAAAACTAAAACCCTAACCGAAACAATACTAAAAATCATCCTCCAACAAAACAAGACTCTCTACATGCAAGAGACTATTTGAAAACATTTTTCAGGTTGGTTGTTGTATTGTAGAGGGTACTTGAACTTCAGCGAGGAGTACACTTTAAGAATTTACATACAGTTTGCTTAGTTGCTGCATAAAGACTGGCATTTTTGTCCATTTAGAAAGGTATTGTGGCACCTTTCTAGACAGTTGCAGAACATCTTTACAGAGTGAAGTATTAGTCGTTCAGTCTTCATCAGGTTTCAATTAGCACAGCTCGATGACATGTCAGCTGATGGCATTACTTCCTTACTATATGTAATGCTGTAAACTGTTACAGCTTTTTTGCCTTCAAGCAGAGATACCACATTTCAAGTGGCCTGCTTTGGGCTGCTGTTCAAAATTCGAGAATTAATTATACAATTCATTTCACCTGACTCTGATCTCCAGCTGGTAAACTCTAGTATGGATAGTCATATCATTTTTTTAATTTGTTTTATTTCTATAGGGCACTTGCTTGGGCTTTCCCATGATGACTCCAAATTTTGTGAGGAGAACTTTGGCTCCATGGAAGATAAGCGCCTGATGTCCTCCATTCTGACTAGCATTGATGCTTCAAAACCCTGGTCTAAATGCACTTCAGCAACTATAACAGAATTTTTTGATGATGGTCATGGTATGTATTATGACACTTTATGTCAGCTACATGTTAGGTCTTACTGTGATCTATTTTTTTAATAAGAACATTTTATACTAGCTTGTTCATTCCTTGCTCATCTTCAGGACTATGTTGGAAGTGCTTGCAAAACAAGGCAAAGGTCTAAAAGGCTGGCAGAGTCTCACCCTCCCTTTGCATGGTTCAAACGCAACAGAAAAGAAAGAGTTGATGGAGTGTGTGTTGGCAATAATTTGGTTTGGAACATGGAGAGGTTTTTTTAAAACCATGAAATTAGTCTTGTCTTCCTAAATGCTGCAGATATGACTTTAAACAGAAGACACAAGGAAATACCTTTTTCCTCACAGAAATTAAAATGGTCTACTTAGCATTAGACTACAGAGTCTATATGTTCTTGTTACCATTAATGACATTAATTATGTTTATAAAGCCATTATATTTATTATGTTTATAATGCCATTGTATTTATTATGTTTATGTAGAGGGGCTGTAAGCAAGAATTAGGACTCCTCTGTGCTCTATATGATAAAAGATTACTTCTGCCCCAGGAGCTTACCTTCCAAGTCATGTAACTAGTATTTGTTAAATATGTCATTTACCCTTTGGAGAATAAGTGCAACACTTTCATTTTCCAAAAGTAGTAATAAAAAAGCATAGTCTTCACTCTAATGAATTTTAAAATCTTCATTGTGCTCCCAAAGCAACTACAGTTCTTAAACAAACCATTCAAATTCCAAAATGCTGAGATAAAAATGACATAATTGAGTGAATGGATCAAGTTGTTATGGTAACCAAAATGGTTATGGATAAAGAGTATGCGATGTCTGCTGAATGTAAAGGTTGCTTTGCTTTTAAATATTTTGTCGGCTAATTTCAGTGCTCTGAAATATTTTCTCCTCTTTTCCTCTATTGGAGAATGACTTCATTTTTTCTCTCAATTTTATTAGATCCATTAATCTGTACTGTCCTGTTTTATGGTCCATATTGCTCTGGCATTGATTTAATATTACCAAGTTGGTTTCCACATATGCAGAGAACTTTCCTTTTTGAGGTACAGTACAGTTCACTGGGGTAAAAAAAAAGAGGCCTCCGTCACCATCCATGAATGACCTCTTAGATGGTGCAAGGAACTCTGAACTATGTTTCCTCTTATGTTCTTCTCCTGCTGCAGGAGGAGAAAGATTTTAGAATTAGAAAAGGTTGTTCTCATTTTTTCCCTTTTTTTGTGACGTGACTTCTCTTTCCTATGTGTCCACCTAGCTACTTTCTCCAACAATAAAGAAAGCAAAGAGAGCACTTCTCCCACCCACCTCACCTTTGGCTTGTTTCTACCTGAGGGGTGCTTGAAATTTGGACCCTTAGCCATGAGCTGATCCCAGTCTCACTGTGGAAAGTAAGGAGGGGTTGTAACAATCAGTCCTACAGGTCTAAGAATATAACTCTGCCAGTTTTTTCAGATCCTTCAGAGCTGCATTATGGTATCCCTGTTCAGTATGGTGCTGTTCTCCTGTACATGAAGCTTAGCGGTCCTCAGCTGCTGACACTTTTCACAAAGTCATGTATTCTTTGCTACACGTAAAGGGCTTAGGATGTGTCAGTCTGCTAATGGATAGCTTAGGGTACATTGCCCTTTCTAATACTCATGAGTAGTTATCACGCAGGTGTGTGGTCCCAAAGAGTTAGCTATGTGATAAAATAATTCACAGAAAGTTTGAAGCTCTTACTATAGACATCCATAGTCCTCAGGGAATTAATTTTATTACTGATGCTATTGGTGTGATTTCAAATAGACAATGTTTAGGGAATCTCCTTTCTTGATAGATCAAGGGCTTCAGAGATCTTTTCTAAGTAAGTCTTCCTTTTCTGTTGAAGTTTATAATTTTTCAGTTATTTATGTTAAATCAAAGATTTGTCTTAACAGAACATGAACACTGTGAAGTAAAAATGGAAGTCAATGGTTTAAATTGCGATTTCTTCAGATTATTGTCCTGAAAGGACATGCGTTATTTTAGGAAGGGAACTTCTGGTTTTATTTTCTTCTTCCAGTCAGTGAATGAATCCACAGCTCCGTAATTCCCATTTGTAATGTACGCTGAGTTTACCAGAAACCACTTAATCCCAGCAGAGCATGACGCTGCCTTTCAGACTGCTTTGGGCTGGTAACAAAACAGTGCAAACGTGCCCTATTTCCGTGTTCCCTTCAGAATACGCATGTGTCTGCTTCTTGTGTTGCTCTTTTTTACCCTTAGCTGGGGCAGATGTACTGTCGTGTACTTGCAGTGTTTTCCCTCCCTTTTTGTTTACAAGACGGTGCTCCCCTGCAGTCTCCCCATAGAAAGAAGAAAATCCTCTCTCTCTCAAGTGCTGCTAGGCAGAGGAAAAAAAACCCTTATCCATTCAGGTGTAATTTTGAGCAGTTCCGCAGGCATAATGTAGATGAGGAAGGCAGAAAATAGCAGTTGCAACAAAACAATACAGATATTCTTATGCCAGGCTTTCTTTTAGGATGTTTGTGGCCGGATTTTGCATAGTCACAGGAAGCTTATGTGGGAAACACTGAACAAGAGAAGACTCTTCCATTCGCTGATAGGCAGCATAAGCAGTTTGCAGCGGGCTTTTGGTCTGAGTGGGCATGAGCTTATATTGTGCTTTGTGACAAACAGGGCAAGGCAGCACTGTTGTGGGGAAATAAATAAAGTGCTTCATCTGCTGTTCCTTATGGCTAAGCATAACGAAATGTGAATGAAGTCCCAAAGTTTGGATCTGTGAGCAGCATTCTGCTACAAAAGAATAGTCCATGTCTTATCAAAGCTTTAAGTAAGGTTCACATATAGATTTAGATGTTCACCCCATACTGCTGTAGCAGCAAACATCATAGTCTTGACCCTCTAACTTATCATCACTTTATCAAGTACTGATCTTCTTATTTTCTAAATTTGGAAAGTGATGTTGGGGAGTGGACTCATCTTATAAAATGTGGGCATTTACTATGTAGGTAGCTACTCCTAAACTGGGTATTTAAGTTCCCATTGTAGTGCAGAGGGGTCTAATCAATGGCATCAATGGTTTTACTGATCTTATGAGTTGCATTAGTGGTGCTGAATAACACCATAAACTCGTTTGCCTGAGTAGTGAAACATCTGATAGCTGACTGAATTGCAGATACTAGCATTACATACAGTCAGCTAAGTAAATCCCAATATAAATGTCTTATCCAAGGTCAACCAGGAGGTCTGGGGAGGATCAAGGTGCTGATTCCCTGTCTCCTGAGGCCCACTCTGAGAACCATAAACATCATTGTCATGATATCACCATTTGTTTTACACTCATGAGATGACCCCAGACAGCAGTTTGACATTTAGGAAGAAAAGGCTGAGTTAGTGTCCAGAAGACAGTGACATTTATTTCCATCTGCTTTTAGCCAACCCTCTCCTAAGGTGCTAATTGCCTTTATTGTCATGCCAACCACTAGGCTGTGGTGTGATTGCTTGTGATTTATTGTGTTTGTTGGAGTGCTCGGTGCTCTGTGCAACCTGAAAAGGGACTATTTCTATTTTAATTAATTTATATCCTGGTTATCTGCTTCCTGCACAGATCTTACTCTGCCTTTTTTCCCCAAGATATATTGCACATAACAGGAGAGGTAATGAGATGGCTTAATTAACACTGTCATCAGACAACAATGTTGCTCTATTCCAGGGCACACAGATGTTCTTTGGTACTCAGGACAAAAAATGGGAATAGCAGTATATACATGCTTTACATGTCACAGTGTAATGTAGTGACTTGAAGCACACTCTGCGCCTCTAAACCAGGGCAAACCATTCTCCAACTCCTTAACTCTGTCTTTTCTGACCATTACAAGTAGGAGGTTGGACCAGCTGGTGGTGAAAACACCTGCACTTCATTGCAACCTGTCTAACCATAGATTACTACTGCTACTATCTATAAATTTAAATGTTTTTTATTTTTTCCTGTGGGGAAGCCTTAAGGGCCTTTCCTATCTTCGGTTTTGAATTTATCATGTGAGATCAGCTGGAACACCTGGCTTTATAGACATTATACGTGTTTCCTCAGAGCAGTAGCAGTTAAGGAGAACTTTGCATCTCCTTCCCCTGTATTCTGAAGGGGAAAAAAAATCTATGTGTTAACTAAAATGATTGCCAAATCAAGTATATGCAAGGATGCACATACTTTTTTTCTTTTTTCTCTAAATTTATATTTCTAGTCATGTCAGTCAGGGTACAGCTCAGTGACGGGCAGCAGTGTCTGTCATGGCAAAATTATGTGTTATTACAATGTTTTAAAATACTGAATAATGGTTGCACTTGGGAATTTGATAAACACTGCAATATATACACATTATAGTAGTGTATACCACTAAATGTTGACGTGCTAGTGCATCCTCATCACAGCCCTAACACGGTACTAACTTCCCCCCATCACAAGGTATATGAAGTAGGACTTCCACTGTTCTTTGCTTTTAGAGAGAGTATTTTTGACAGCAACTTTTGCTAATGATGTCCTTTTCAGAAACCGCAGGGAAAAAAAAAAGTGCTTCCTCACTCTTTGCCATGACTTTATATTTTACTCTACAACAGGCTTTGAACACTAGGGTACTTTTAATTATCTTTATCTCATGACACTCAGTTCATCAGTTAGTTAGCATTGGCATACTTTGTCTTCATTAAAAAAGTCAGTATAATCCAGATTAAAGATAAGGTTAGGGAAAATCAGGGTGAGCAAAGGACAAACAGAACAAGTTTAACAAGACAGAGAGTTTTTTGGTAGTAAGTGAGTGATGATGCAGAAAGAATTTTTGGCTGATTTGGCTAATTGGCCTTAGTCTGTAGAGGAAAAAAAGAACAGCTGTAGTGTGTGTTCTGGAGGGAAAACACAAGCCATTGAGAGATGGGATACTTCGCTTGTTTAAATTCACTGCCATAGCTTGAAATTCTATTCCAATTTTGTGTAAATAGTGAGGATTTTATAGATAGCCTTTTTTCACCCATGATCTAACTGAAGAACACTGGTCGAGGTTCCAAAGTGAGGTAAATTGTGGTAAGTTATTTTGGCCAAGGATAAGTGAAGCTTGGCCAGACAATATATCCCTTTCATGAAGTGTAAAAAAGGTTACACTGAATAAATAGTTCTGCATGTCAACAAGTAAGTTTTTCAACAGTAAAAAAAAATCTTATCAGTAGACCCTCTAGTACCTAAATGTGAGTTCTCATTTCTAGAGTGTGCCAGACAAACCTTGACCTCTGCAATATATCTCAAAACAGATATTCAATACTTTGTTTATGCTACATTTTCTTTTCTTTGTTATTTATGTATTTTTGTATAAAATGGATAGTCCTCTACAAACTAATTCCAGAAGCAGCCAAGTATCATTCCTTATAAGGAATATCCAGTCCAGATTCACCGCTAACATTAGTTTTGATATGCAGCATGTATTTTTCTTTTGATCTATTGGGGGTTTTTTATGGTTTTTTTCTTTTAAGTGCCTCTTTGGCTACAAGTCTGGTTTTTGTGATTTTTCTGGCACCCCTTTAGAAGCTTTACCATTTCTGACATTCTGTCTCAAAATTCATGTGACAACTTTGCTTACTTTGCCATGAGGCTTGATCAGTCCTTAAATCTCAAATTGATAGATAGAGTCAAATGTGTTCAGAGTCAATTCAAATAAAACAAACCAGAACGAAAGGCCAAAGAGATCCGAGTAAAACTCATTTACACCCTTGGATTGGAAATAGACAGCTTGACACCTGGTGCACTCCTGGGTTAGAATACAGTTGCAATTGTGTGACCTTGGCCAAAACCTGATGACGCCTCAGAGAGCCTTTCCGTTCACGTCAGCATCCTTCAAATGAGGTTTGCTATCATTATCTGACTGACAGATTTGCAGCACTGCAGAGAAAAATAGGAAATGAGTAATAATAGGTTGGTTTGCTTGTTTAGGTAACTGTTTGCTGGACCAACCGAGAAAGCAGATCTTGGGCCCCGAGGAGCTTCCAGGACAAACCTACGATGCCATTCGCCAGTGCAAACTGGCGTTTGGACCCGAATACACAGTCTGTCCTGGTATGGATGTGTGCTCTCGCCTCTGGTGTGCAGTTGTGCGCCAAGGTCAGATGGTTTGTCTGACTAAGAAGCTTCCTGCTGTGGAGGGAACACCATGCGGAAAAGGGAGGATCTGCCTCCAGGGAAAATGTGTTGACAAAACCAAGAAGAAATACTACTCAGTAAGTTCCCAGCTGTGACCCTAGGGAATTCTAGAAGGCATGATCCTCAAAGGCACTGATTTTTGTGGGAGTGAAAGGGACTTTATGGAAGTCAGATTGAAAGCTGCCTTATTTTTTAGCATGTAAATGGAGTGTTACTGGTGAGGGATATAGGAAAAATGCTGCTTGAGTTTCAGGAAGCATATTTTCTCCTTGAAGTATTAAAGCCTTCATTCCTGGAAAACTAGGAGCATCTCTTCAGAGTGGAGGATTTGCCCATTCAGTAAGTCAGGTTTCAGGACATACAAACATGTTGTCAAGGACCTATTCATAGCTTCCTGACTTCTTGGTAATGGACTGTGAGAAAAATTAAATCTGTAAATCTAATTTGCAGCCCTTACCCAAAAGGTCCCAGGGCCCTAAATCTAGCGAAGAGAAAGATCAATGAAGTTCATCCAGAATAAAATTTCTGGAGCAGAAGAGTTTGTACCTGCAGTGACAGAGTCTCCTCTGTCAACTTTATACATTTAAAGAGTCCCTAGGCTCTTGAGAGTTGTAAGCTACACAGTTCAGATACTTCTAAATTTACTGGGTAGACGGTAGCACTGCCCCTTCTGTTACACCCGCAGGAGAGATACGGACTTGTAGAACTTTGTGATAGTTACAAACTACGACAGTCATTCAAATAAAGCTACAGGTCTTGTAACACCCTTTTTTATAGAATTACATACTTCCTCTTCATGCAGTACCAGTAAGTTGTTGCAATACTCTTCTTAGGGAGCCAGTTTAGCAGAGTTGAAAACTGTATCTGACAAATCCATCTCTTGCCAGTAGTTCAGAGCAATACCTACACATCACAGTAATTGCATTTAATTAATCATGGATTAGCCTTATAAATGTAGCCTGGCAGCTGAATCCCCTCAGTGTAAGGGAGCCTATTGATGGGAATAGCAAAAAAAAAGAGCGCAGCACATGGGAATATGGACACTATTTCTGGTGCATGTGTGTCTACCATGAAACGGGCTGAAGTTGTCGGCACAGAGCAAGGCCTAGTATTGCCTTTGCATGCGCAGTGCCAAGTGAGATGTCATCAATGTGCAGATAAAAGACAGAAATGAACTCTGTTGGGAGAAAGAAGGCTCCTAAGGCCTTTTATCCCTGATTAAAATGATTAAGGAATCGCCTTCATTTAAGGAAAACATTCACAATGTCTTTACGATATAGCACCTTTATTCACACATGGGTGATGTCCTTACTTTCCACTGTTCCATATATTTCAGGCTTCAAGCCATGGTAACTGGGGGTCCTGGGGACCTTGGGGACAGTGCTCCCGTACCTGTGGCGGAGGAGTTCAGTTTGCTTATCGTCACTGCAATAACCCAGCCCCAAGAAACAACGGCCGGTACTGCACCGGCAAGAGGGCCATCTACCGCTCCTGCAACGTTGCACCCTGCCCAGCAAATGGTGAGTGCCTTCGTGCCAAAGTGCCTTCATGCTCCAGCCTCTATGTTCATAGATAGTAAATATTGAACATCTACTGTGAAAGGAAACAACAAAGGTCCATTGTAGTTTCTCCAAAACATATTTACCAAGGCAAGACATTCAACATTAATACAATACCATAATTCTTTTCCCATCCCCACCCTGATGCCATACAGAAAGGACACTTGAATGAAAAGAAATTTCAGTCCTGGAAAATAAACCGTAATGCAAACTTTAGTCCTTTAACGCTTATTATGTCATGGGAAGATTTCCAAGCTAAAACAGTTGAAGCATTTGAAGGCCAGTTCTAAGTAAAGAGGTGAAGTGACATAACTTAAAAATTCTGTAAAAAAGAAATTGGAATAATAGATGGGCATAATGATATTTGCAGCATGGTCTGAAATAGTCACTAATGATGTGAATAATTCTACAGCTAAATCTTTTCGACAAGAGCAGTGTGAAGCAAGGAATGGCTATCAGTCTGATGCAAAGGGTGTCAAGACATTTGTTGAATGGGTCCCCAAGTATGCTGGAGTACTTCCCGGAGACGTTTGCAAGCTTACCTGCCGAGCCAAAGGAACTGGTTATTATGTGGTATTTTCTCAGAAGGTAACGGCACCTTCAGTCGTGATTTCATGCTCCAGTTTAGAAGTATCCTGTATCTTAGAAATCTTTCAGAAGTTAATAATGTGATTCAAAGATTTAACTGTGTGATTAGATACAATGGTTTGATCCACTGGTTATCCTTTATATATAGGATATATATATACACATACACATTAGGACCAGAATTGGCCTCTAAAATGAGGTAAGTTTTTCCACATCTAAGTATGTGGATTCATGAAAAATATGGGCCTCTCAGTGCACTCTGCACTAGTTTGTTTTCAGTAGTAGATAAAAGGGTTTCTGCCTGGAGAGTCATCTGTCATTCTGGCATTTTCTGGAGGAGAAAGAGTACTATGAGTAAAAGAATAAGTTTTACCCTGAATTATGTTAAGAGAGTCCAGAGTAACTTTTATGGAGCCAATTAATATAGAATAATTAGCCAATTAATATAGATGTGACTTGTGGTTGGTTTGTTGTATCAGAGGCAGTTTCAACTGAAATGTCTCCCACGCTTGTACTTGCAGTTTTCTGCCTTTAAATGTTACGAAGGTAACATTTAGATGTAGGTAGCTCAAATGCAAGGCTATCTACAAGTACGGCTATTGTTATTATTAAAAAGCTGTGAGATCATCACTAAAGCCAGGGTCATTTTAGTGTCTTACAGTGGAGTTACTTGTCATTGATTTCAGCCCTTTGCTAAGTTTCATCTGCTTTTGTGCTGGGAATGTTAGAGAAACAGGCTGGGCTGTCAGGGTAGGCACTATCTTCTGAGGAGGTGACACAAATAAATAACTGGGTTTTGCCAGTTAGAATCACAAAAGCAAATCTTTTCCATGGTAGTTTTAACTAACAGTCATTTGATTGCCTAGGTAACTGATGGTACTGAATGTCGACCGTACAGTAATTCAGTCTGCGTCCGGGGAAAATGCATCCGAACTGGTTGTGATGGCATCATCGGTTCAAAGCTCCAGTACGACAAATGTGGGGTGTGTGGAGGAGACAATTCCAGCTGCACGAAAGTCATGGGAACCTTTACGAAAAAGAGGTATTGATCCTGAGTAAATGTATCTTGTTGTGCAAATAGTAACTCTGCTATGTGCTTGCTTGCTTTCTGTCTCTAAATGCCATTTACTTTCATATGCAGATTGAGCAAAAAAGTACATTGCCTGTGCTTATAGCACTTTCCAGATGTTTACAGCTGGCCTCTTAGCATTACCCCAAAATGGCAAATAGTCAACGGGCAAAACTGTATCCAGTTCATTCCTGACACAAAGTGCCAGTGGTACAGATGAGCACCCCATTAATAGGAGGTCTGCCTAAAATAAGGCATAGCTAATTGCTATGTTTCTAAAAATAAATATAACTAATCTTCTTCCTGGTAAACCAATGATTACTCATCTAAGGATGCCAAAACACCTCTGCCAAAAAGAATGACTTTCCATGCAAATTAGTAATTACATAAACCAAATCTTTTCCAATTTGTAAATATTGAAATATCTGGGATGTCTAAATGAAGAAGACAGTGCGAGGTATACCTCCTGTGATTTGTTAATGATGAATCTGAATCCAGGCTCCAGCAAAAACGTTAAAAGGACGCCATGAATTTCAGTGAGGTCAGATTTGTAACATAGACATACTTGGAAATGGTGAGGTTCTATTATAGTTATTCCTATGAAGTTACCATCTTACTCCTCAAATCATGCCTTTAACTGAAATGAGACTCATCAGAGAGTAATATGTTAATTCAAACTCAATGCGTTCAAAAAGTTGTCCCATTTAGGAAGTAATAGTCAACGTGTAAGTAACAAGTATGTTCTAACTTGGTTCTGATTGTATTTTGGAGTGATGACAAGTTATTTTTTACTGGAAACGCGGTTTGAGAGTATGCCCTTATGCAAGCAATTGACTTTAAAATAAAACCCTCATTAACATAGTGAAATCTTAATTGTCTGTAAACTGTTTTTACATATGAAAGGGCAGTGGCTGAAGTAAAATTATCTTTTCTCCACTGAAAAATAGCAGCTCTTGCACTGGTGTCCATTAAAAACCAAACTGTAGCAACCTGTACATTAAGTGTACAGGGAAACTATTAAATGTACATGTGGAAACTAGTATTTACCATTGCAGATAATTGCCACAACAACATTTGTTTGTACTTTTTTCTTTTAAAGCGGTCAAAACATAATTTGCTGGAAAACTTGTTTCCCAAGAACTTTTTATTAAAGGCTGTAAAGTCAAATTGTCAGAAGTTGGGAAAGAGGAGAATTAAGGCTGCACGTGCTTCTTTGTGCACATGGAGTTTTACAGTTCTTTGTGCAGATGACTTGAAGTCTCCAGCATTGCTTTTAGTTTTGAACAAGTGATTTTGCAACTTTAATAACATGTTTAAACGGAGTTATTTTGGCAACTGTTATGTAAAAATACTTGTGCAGTGCTGTAGAGCAAAGTCCCCCCAGCCTGTTTTTCGCACCATATTCCTCCAGGTTTATGGAGGTGCTAAATCAATGGAGTTTCAGTCATTGTCCTATAACTGGTGGAAATAGGGGAATAGCACAAGCGTTTATTCTGTAGTCTGAGCAGTCTCTTGTGCAGCCAAAAATTCTTGAAACTAGCAGTCTGTTCTTTAAACAATCCCAAGGGAGACCCCATCACTTTTATATATTTTTTGTATATTTTCTCATTCCTTTTTTTCTAGAAGTTCCAGCACTAAACTTTTCAGATATAAGACACTTGCAGAATTGTTTTGTCACAAGTTTAGAAATGAAAATACATGTCTCCGAAGTCCAGCTGGTAGCTTGTAGCTATGTATAGTCTCCAGTTTTTTTCTATATATCAGTAAAGTTAAAATAAATAACATACTTGAGATAGTGATAAGTTCCAGCACACTTGCAGGTTTTGAATGTTTGTCACTTTCAGTAGAAGAGTTAAATACCTTTTTCTAAACCTGAGTTAAGATACTTCATAAGTAGCAACTGAGAGGACTCTGTGATGGTACAGATTAAACATTTGGGTGCACCTCATAATAGACACTTGACAATTAATCTTCGGCTTTATGAATTTCAAAGTAAACACATTTTTTCTCAGTGAACAAGATTATTTTTACATGTTCCCAAGGTACCTCTATCCAGCTGTTACTCTGCTTATGCTTTCCTTAATCATCATTACAGCAAAGACAGCGAGAAACAGCTGTAACCAATGCATATGTCATTATCTTTCCTTGGCAGGCAAAGCATGCATCATATTTCATATCTCCCACCCTTTGCTGAAATATATAAGCTATCTGTTATTTTTCATTCCTCTTGTATCTGACTCACATAAAATCATTACTAAAGCTAAAGATTAAGCAATTTGAAATAAGTGCAGTAGAAATTTCTTCAAGAACATAAAAAGCAATATAATCAACAAAGAGTGGGACCTGGTTAAATTAATCTTAGGTGAGCCTCAAGCCAGATGGATTCAGATGAACTAAAACAAAGCAAGATGTGTCCTGTCAGTGACTTCATTAGGCTTTGCAGTAAGACTTGAGGCTTATTTCTTGCTAGCTACTGAATACTCCTTTTTTTAATTCTCCCTTATTCAGCAAGGGCTACACAGATATAGTGAAAATCCCGGAAGGGGCAACCCACATCAAAGTTCGGCAGTTCAAGACTAAGGACCAGAGCAGGTTCACTGCCTACCTGGCCCTGAAAAAGAAGAACGGTGAGTACCTTGTCAATGGAAAATATATGATCTCCACTTCAGAAACAATCATTGACATCAACGGGACTGTCATGAACTACAGCGGCTGGAGTCACAAAGATGATTTCCTGCACGCAATGGGACACTCTGCCACAAAAGACGTTCTTATTGTGCAGATACTTGCAACTGATCCAACTCAGCCAGTGGATGTCCGCTATAGTTTCTTTGTGCCAAAGAAGCAAGGGCAAATGACTAACTCTGTCATCAGCAGTGGCAGCAGCAGCAGCAAAGTAACTCCACAGCTCATGCAACCCCGCTGGGTGACGGGGCCGTGGCTTTCTTGTTCTCGAACATGCGACACAGGATGGCACACCAGGACTGTCCAGTGCAAAGACGGGCATGGAAAATTAGCTAAGGGATGTCTTCTCTCTCAGAGACCGTCAGCTTTTAAACAGTGCTTGTTGAAAAAGTGTTAACCTGTGGTTGTGATCTTCTTTAAAAGAGGTTTGATTAAGCCATTGTTGACATACTGGTATTAGGTCTGCCCAGAGAGAAGCAAAGGCTTCAATGTACTTACACAGAGTCTCAAATTATGGGCAGAATCTGCCTAATTTGGACCAAATGAAGATGTGCACTGCTTTAAGTAATAGTAGGGTGATCTTAATGTGTCAAAAACAAAGCATTAAAGTTGTTACAAGCCCTCTGTGTCTGCAAAAATGTAAAATAAAATAATGCAAAAGAAGAAAAACTAGTGAATGGAGGATCCTGGGATATTTGAAGGTTACAGAATCATCTCCCCTTTTTCACCTACCTCTAATACAGTATGTCCTTAGGAAACATCACATGTACCCATGATACCACAGTAGCTTATTTTATACTGTTTTGTAAATATCTTTCATTTGGTATGTCACTTTATATCACTTGGTTCTATTAAAAAAATCTAAAGACAAACTACATAAGCAAAGTGATTGACCAAAGTATATCTGCAGCCCTTGTGGACTTGGTCCATTCTTCAGAAAGGCCCGCAGATGTTTTACTGGAAAATGAAGAGCTTGCTGCTGGTTTTAAAAAGTAATACTTTTTGGTTTTGACAAAAGGAAACATGTTCATGCTAGGAATTTCCTGACTACAGATCATTATTCTATGACAAATACTGTGTTTCCACCAAGAAATTCTCAGAAAGAGCATTGCAGCAGCTTGCAAACCAGGGATCTCCACATGTACATTGCTCAAATACCAGCACCATCAGCGACTCCTCACCATGTGTATGTCAGACACACACAGAAGGAGGATTTGGCTGCTAGAAGGAATTTGTGTACACTTTGCTTGTAAACCTTCCACTAGTTCCAGCTGCGTCGCAGCTTGGGGTCCTTGTTGCCGATGAACAATAGCTGCTAGCTTCTTTCCATAAAACAAAGGCATACTGTATTTTGTAGAAACTAGTTAGAGAACCAAAAATTACAGGTGAGATAATCAAGTGTCTTCTAACTCAGATATTCTGAGGCTGTGTTCAACTGCTTTCTCTGTTATTTTCTCTATGGCTTCCACCTTGAATCTAACAATGTGTAATGTACCTACATCTTTTGAAGAGGCTATAAAGGTCAAAAAAAACACAGCAAGCAGTTAATATTTTATCACTGTTTTGTCCATCATGTCTAACTCTGGTATTCATCTTACCAGCAAAAGTTTGTAACTATTTGTCTTTTTTGATTGTTTTGTGTGTGGTTTTGTTTTTTTTTAAAGCATTCATGTTCTGTGTATTTACCGTTTGGGAGGAAGAGGGGTGACTAGGAAGTCAAACCACATCAGGATGTGGAGGACTTGCCCAATATCAATAAGACTGTTTCCACAGTACAGGCAGTAGCTGGTAATAGTTTTCACTGGCAGCAACTTCTGAATCCCATTATTGTCTGGCAGAAGTTCTGTGACCGAGGATGGGCATTCCACCTCATGCGGGTAACAGGTGGAGGCCTGATAGCAACCCTGTTAAAATGGCTTCCTTTTATACCAGCAGGCTTTGAATTAAGCCCTAGAATAACAGGTACTGGAAGAAATGGTTATAACGCGCTGATGAACATAGAATCCCATCTGTCTTTTATTCCTTCATTCATCCACACAGGAGAGTACGAGACTGCAGGAGGATTTTCAGACAAACCTCACAGCTGTAAGGCAGTGTACTTGCGCACTGAAATACCCCAGGCTCTTCTGAAAATCCCAGTCATTAAATCAGTGAAGAAAACTTGTTCTTCAACAAGTAGCAAGAAGGGCAGGTCTCGCTCCAGGCTGACACAAACATGTTTTTGCAACTGTGGCATGTTTGTATGAACTCTTAGAAAGCATGTGATGATTTCAAAACAGCATGGAATTGCTACATCTACAACTATAAAACCTGGAGAAGTATCTATTTTTGTACCCTGTTCTAAATAAACAGTAACAGGGGCAGGGCCGCCTTCTCTGTCGAAATCAATTGCCAACGAATGTTACTAGTCATCTTCAGCTTTCAAAAATGGTGTGGCCTTCTTATTAGGAGTAGTCCTATGCAAAACTGTGGATCTTGAGGAAAATTCCCCGCTTAATCTGTGATCCCACCCTAAGAACTGAGATCAAGGCTCTGAATATTTGCAGAGTTCTGGAAAGTTAGGATTTATGCCTTCTTTACCTGTTAACATAAGATCACTTTGAAGAGTCTTATTTTCCTTTCAGGTAATCTGATTTTTATACTTGTATATGTATTACACATGTTCTAGAACCTCTCAAAAAAGTTCATAACAAAAAGAAACCATCGTGAGAGGAAAAATAAGGAGACTTAATGTGTCTCAGCATAGACTTAATATTTGTCTTGACATACAGCTGCTGTATTTAGTGGCATTTGTTTTTCCTGTGTTCTATCATAATAGAGACAGAATGTGCAAGTATTTGTGTTTGCATCATAGTAATAATTTATTATATGTTCAACAGGATGAATAAAGCTTTTGGATGCTATTCAGGCTCCAGAAGAGTAATACCATACGCGGGTATAAATTTAAAACTTCCTTAGATCAAGAGTATCTTTTTTCATAGACAGAGTTTATTTATAAAAAATAAATAAATAAATATGAGAACAAACCACTATAGTGATTTTTCCCTTTTCTCCAGTGCAGTAATGAAGCAAATTAGCATGAGCAAAAAGCAGTTGCCTTTATATGGTGAGAGGGCAAAGGGGACAGACCAAGGAAGCAACCCTACAAGTGTAAGATAAACTAGGTCAGCCTGCTCTAGTTAACACTTTTAGCCATTCTTTGTAATCGGACTCCAATTCCAAACCTTGCTTTTGTCACAGTTATTTCATGTAACTAATGAATGAAAACGTGGTGCAAGGTGTGTGACTTTGTCATTTCAACTTCTGCTCTTGGCTAAATTCCTTGCCACTCGCACTGTTATGTCATTGCTTACATTACTACCGAGTATTGCCAAACAGGATTCATAAAATGCGTCTAGGGGCTAGAAACCCGGAGTATTGCTCTTTACATAGGAAGAAACAATCCTCAGTATTAATTCACTCTTGACTTTTTGGGACACATCTCCAATGCCCTTGGGTGGAGTTGGACCCCTGAGCATCGGTGGTTTTTAGGGCATCTGCTTCTCAAATAAGATGTTCTCACTATGAAACAGCCTGTCATCTTTGGTTTGACTGCATACAAGAAATTAAATTCAGCTGCCCTCCTGTGGAAACAGTTTTATCACAAGGGGGAGAGGGACTAATCTTGTGGATTAATCACAATTGTAAAAAAAAAAAAAGCAACACAGCACTGAAAAAAATAAAATAATTTATTGTTTTTACAACTGGTATGTGAACGGATGTAATGAATTTATTTATTCTTATTTAACAGAAATACCAATTGTGCAAATTCTATATTTAAAATGTTTTGCTATCGTCTCTGTCTCTCTCTTTCTCGCTCTCTTTTAATTTATGCTTTGAATTTGTGTTTAAAGTATGCCTTATGAGTTTACATAATGTATGGCACTGGTTATTTTTTGTATGTTTTTATTTAGAAAGCTTTCTGCATGAAACAGGAGTATATGTGTATACATGTGTGCACACTGTATAGATGTATATTCTTTTTCTGCTACCATCTTTTTCTTAGAGAAGTCGTAGATTTTTAATTTTGTGACACTTCATGCTCAAAGCTCCTTGTTACACTTCACTTACTTTGAAAATCTCTCAGCTAGCAAGTCACAGAGGTCTGTGGACCCAACAAAGCCCATACCAGCTCCTAAAGAAGTCAGACCACAGACGCGCTGCGCGTGGGTGCACGCAATGCATGCTGCATGCCTCGGTGATTTACCACTGAAGCTGGTAGGAGTCGTTCTTACCCTTTGCTTCAGCGGGAGCAAGTTCAGGCTTGTCGTTAAGTGAGAGTCCTTTACATGTGAATGAAGTTTCTCTGAGTTGTCAGGGTGGCAAGTGAGTCTTCTCTCATGCAGCTGCTTATGTTTAGGTGAAAACACTACAGAGAAAGTCTTGTGTGCCTCTAAAAATATAGCTGAAACAACGTATGATTTGGTTTATGAAGACTGAACCATTAAAAAAGCTACTTTTTCAGTCTTTCCACCATTTATATACATATATAAGTATGTATATATGGATGTAAAAAGTCCAAAGTCCAATTTGGAAGGCTTTGCAATGTTTTGTTTCATTGTATTCTAGCTCTTTGCAGCACACCAGGCAAAGTTAGACGCAATAAAGCCGGCAAAGCATGCGTTCCCAGGGTTTCCTTGAAAATAACAATATCTGTTTGCTTCCGCTTTTCATCCAATACAACTAACAGCTGAACTCAAGGGAACTTGTATTGAGCCCAGTGTAAGGACAAAGATGCAGTATAGACAAACCTACAGCTTTTCTACAGCCAGTTTATTTAACAATACAAATGACTTCTGTAGCCACAGAAGGCAGTCCTACCGACTGCAAATAACCTACTTCAAACTGTTGAAAGTTATCTTGCTTATCAATGCCCACATTCACACAAGTTAAATTCCAGCTCAGCCTCTCTGGCCAGTGTCTGCTGCTGTCCAGGCACTACCGAAGACCCAGAGCCAGCCACAAGGCTTGAGATGAAATTGCGATGGCCAGTGGGTGATGCTTCCTCACTGAAGACCCACTCCAAAATGCCAGGGAATGACTATAAGCCTTGATTTTCACAATCTCTAAAGCTGGCTTTAAACAGTATTTGTAAGGATGAAACATCAGCAATTGTGGGGTTTCAGCAATAGGTTTAGGTTTTCTCCTTGTGGTAGTGAATGCCATGCTGTTCTTTGTCACCGAGGAAGATGGAGCCTATGGCAAGAGGCAAAATTAGATTCCCTGAGCATGGGCTGCAATTTTCAGAAAAAAATTGCTGGTTTGAAGGGGTTTGTTCCTTTTTTTAATTGAGTGATTTGGTTATAGAGTTGCCAGAGTGCATCCTTGCATTCATACTTGTCATTGGTAATATTTTCA